TTGCCAACCCGTCTATACAATTAAAATACCTTAGCCACGCCAAATGCCAGGTTTCAAACTAGAAAATTCCCTGAACCACTTCCTCATCTAACGCCCCTGGTGTTAATCGGTGGGACTAGTGTTGTTAAAAAAACGTTTTTCTCTGAGGTTAAAAAAAAACATGAAAGAAACCGTTTTTTTCTAAAAGTATGAAAATAAAAATATGACAATAATATGACAATCGTATTTTTTTTACTACATTTCCTCTTTTGTTGTTAATATTATTCTTCATAGGTAAATTGCTCAAAATAAATGGGAACACTCATAGTATTGTCAATTTGTGGCGAATTCCCCAAATCGCGGACAATTTCAACTCGATTTTGTGGGATTGACGCTATGTGGGGAAAATGCGGGGATTCACATTTTACCTTTTTTTAAAAATCTATCGATTGCTGTTGCATCGGTACTTTGATGATTACTGATAAAAACACTGTTTATTTATTTATCCAAGAGCGATATCAATATTTTTTGCCACATCGCACATATCCCTTATATAACAACATTTACATAGAATTATTAGCAAGCCGCTTATATAAAATTATTTGGTAGGATTTGAATGAAGGAAACGAAGACACAGAAAATGTTGATGACATTACGAGTGTGGTTACCCACACCTGTAACAGTAGTGACACTAGTAACATCACAAATGAAGATTAAATTTTTGTTATAATTATCATGGTAATTTATTTTAATGAACATGTTTTATATGATATAATATAATATTTCAATTATTCCATTTTACTTTTTCTGAAAAAGAAACCAAATTTAGAAAAAAACCAGGGTGCTGCTATTTTGTTTTTTTCTTCAAAACTGTGAAAAAAAGCATTTTTTTGTTAATTACAACACTAGGTAGAACACCAAAATCGTTATTCATATCAATTCAAACATACGTCATACAGATAAGCAAACAGACACTGGAAATGCCCACATTGACTAGGTGAACCCGATCACTCATTCGCGAGGCAGATCCCTGCCCTGAGAAGAACGAGTAAGAAACTCTAGGGGTTGCCCTTTGTATTATTAGACGTTTATGTGATTGTTTCCACTTTTGTTTTACTCGTTCACCTACCACCGTCGAGGGTCGTGGGACTGACTTTTTCGGGATTTATGTGCGAAACTTAATTAGAAGTTCACCATGACCATTTCGGTGAAGGAAAAATCGTGAGAAAACCTGCTCACACCTGCAAAGCTATTTAATGATGTGTGTGATCTTCCCAACCCGCAATGGGCCCGGCCCGCGTAAAAACTACAGCCCTTTCGTTGCGAGAGGACACCTGTGACCAGCAGCGGGAGTACGTACAGGGTAACAATGTTTTTGTAGTTTTTAAACTCCGTAAATAGCAAATTTTGAATATCGACCGGAATGTTATCACAGGAGCATATATACTTTGCCCATTCAATTAATTTGTAACAAAGACTGTCTAGAACAGTCAATTTTTTAAATCCTATTCTTAATGTCACATTTATCAGTATATTTCACGAAGAAGCTCCTATTCTTGTAACATAAATAAAATTCATAAAAGTAATGTACACGCACGTGAGGAACCTAAGAAGGTTCAGACTTTCAGAGACACTCTGGGGCCCTGTAAATTGTCCTAACAATACCTACGTTTGTGCAAGACAAAAAAACTATTAATATATGCTGCATTACTCCAAATGAAAAATGCCGCATGTCATTAAAGTGTGAAATTTTTAATTAAAATAAATAAAAAATAAAAATGGACCCATTATTGAACCCAGAGGGATGCTCATGCTAACTGCAGATCCTGACGATCGCGTAACATTGACATAGACCTTCTGTACTCTGTACCCTATCATTCAAATACGATTTAAGAATGTCGAGATCACAGTCTGCCACACCAGTGCCGTTTTTTGTATTTCTGACATGGTGCACACAATCACATGCCTTAGAAAGGTAAAAAAATACACCAGAGCATCATGTGAAAAAGTCATCCCATGCATCAAATATTACTTTCATGACATCAACACCAGCATATGCTGATATTGAGCGACCCCGATTGAAACCAACTCATCAATGTCGAGTTCTTAGGTTTTCGCGATTGTTACACATAGGAAAAGAAACTATTTTTATATATATGTATAGTATCATATATAATAAACAAATATATATAAATATAATATTATTTTCATATAATAAACAAATATACGCGATGCAAATCCAGAAAAATAGATTAATTTCCTATCAATTCATCAAATTAATCAATACCTGAACATCAATTTTAACTATTTGTACGTACTTGGAGACTCTGTTGAATACAATTCTGAAATTTACGGTCGATTCTATCAATTGCGGCAACCACAGCCTCTAAATAATAGCATATTAATGCTGTACCAAACATTAAATGGGAGAATTAATATGTGCGTAACAGAGAAAGCGTAAATGTTTTAAGAGCAGAGCTTCTCTCAGAGGTGGGTTATTGCTGCGCTTATAAATACCATAATGGGGCTAAGAGAAATTAGGAATCCTTTCTTTTATAGGGAAAAAATGTCTTGTTTATGGGTGTCTCTATCTTTTTTTACATATGTGCGTGCGTGAGTGCGTGCGTGCGTGCGTGTGTGTGCGCGTGTGTGCGTATGCGTGCGAGTGTGGTTATGTGTTCATAAAAATAAATTATAATTCTTTGTCGTCCACGATGTGCGTATACGCTATCTTGAATGGAGTGAGCCGTAGCGGCGATGGCGTACAAATAACTTAAGGTATCGCTACAAATTGACACTGTGGACCTGAATGTTTATGAATTTTTATTTTACTGCAGATTTAAAGTAGATGGTGTGCGGCGCCACTGGGTTGACGACATGCTAAAAAAGGGAGACACGGAGTAATCTTTATTATTGATTGCGCGTCACTACTGAGGTTAAATCTATTTGTTGTTTTTATAGTCCCTATATTTTACTTCATGTGTATACCTACAAGTGCGAACCAGGTGTATTTTAACTCCAAAAGTACGTCTTTATTCACAGTACGTACACAGTGATACTTATTTTAAAATAATAACATAAGATATATCTATATACAGATACCTGTTTATAAAATAAAAATATTTTTAATTCCAGACAACGAGTTCCGTAAATACAAATATTAGTGATAATAATAATAAGAAAAGTGCTTATACATTAGTGTTAGAAGACATATTGTTACTTCATCTTTTTCAAATCACCTTCCTCGTGAAGCATTGCCACATGGGAGAAGTTTATGGTACGAGCACCTAATTTTATAATCAGTGCGCCAGGTTCCTACACGGAACAACCTACCCTAGAAGCGCTCAACCGACTTGTAGGTATTGTTGATACTAAAATTTAGAATCGCTTGTTCTATTATATTTAGGTGCCACATTCCTGGACGTAACAATTTGTCATTATTACCAGACCTTTAAGCGAGTACGTAGCTGTAACCGCAATTCACCGCACCCCGACGTCGCGTCGGCACGCGACTCGAGATGCGATACCCCGTCAACTCATAGGTGTCGTAGTAGGTGTGTAGGCGACAGCGGTCTCGCGCGGTGTCAACCGCAAACCGCTAACGAGCAGGAGGGGAGGGACCGAACCAAAGAAGAAGAACAAGCGGCTCACGTCCTTATCCCATTGGAGATGGTAGGGAATCTCGTTGCCGAAGGGGAAGTCGAGATGGCAGTTCATGACAGCGAATCCACCGACGCTGGCGCGCAGCTGCTCCGCCTCCAGCGGCAGCAGCGACGCGGCCGCGGACAGCAGGCGCGCGCACAGCGTCCACAGCGCCAGCGCACGCATGCTGCTCTGCACCGCAGAAGAACCCGCACCAGGACTGCACGCACTGCACCACTGCACCACTGCACCACTGCACCACTGCACCACTGCACCACTGCACGCGCTGCACCGCTACGCGCCGGCGCGGGTCCACGAGCGCGCCGAGTGACCGCTGCGCCGCAATGGAGCTGGCCTCCGCCGCGGGCGTGAGTAATGCAATCTCCGCGCCCCTCCGCCGCCCCCGCCCCCGCCGCCCCTCCGCGCGCCGCGGGCAGGAAGCTCCGCTAATGCGCGTGATTATCTCCTACGACGACGTCTTTTTGTTCCCCAGCAATCAGTTTTAATGAAAAGATCGCCGCGCGACGTGGCCTAACGCTAACGTCTACATTCACTCGAACGTAGTCGCACGCGCGGGGCGACAGGTGGGTCGGGGCCGGTGTTCGATTCGTCTTTCGTTCTGAAGCTGGTGGCGAAATGTAGAAGCACCCGGTAGTCTACTGACGCAAATCATTTGCATCGCATTATTATATTACTCTCACCCCACTCGAGTCCCGCACCCCGGCCCGGATCTCCTCTGAGAAGATTCCCGCCACAATAGGACAAAATCCCGTGAATTTGAATTAAATTGAAGCAGTTCGTTCTATTCATCGTGTTACCAACCCATTACACGTCCGACAAAACAAGACAGGACACGAGTCTCGTCTGAGTTTAATGCGGGTTGGGGACTTAATGCCTTGTCCAAAGGCCCTGAACCGTACTGCAGGTTCCATCGCAATGTTCTCGTTCGTCAGAAGTGAGAGCTATTGCTACCAAACATTCATAAAAGTACGAGACTTCGAAACTAAAGTCACGGGTACGTGTCGGTACAAGGGTTCCAAGCGGTAGACCTCCCAATTAAAAAGCAACCGTTTCCCAGCTACTTACTGCTGTTAATTTCTTTAATTCTTATTGCACACAATTCGACAAGACCTGTTCATGTAAGCCCATGCCGAGATTAGCCTGACATTCTCATGTTGGCTATCCATAGCAGTAGAATAGTCTTTTTTTTACAATAACCTAAACCAATCCAAACACGGCTATGGCACAAACGGGAAGGAGAATTGAAATATTTTGACAGATCTACATTAGACAGTAAGTAGTTTAATGTAAATAATAATAAAATATATATTAAATGCTAACAATACCTTAATTTGGAATATGAATAGAGGGAATTACAGGTTGCACTTAACAGTATCAAATACAATAGGCACGAGGTCTCAGCCTTGCATGATGAGGTGCACGAAATTCTCGTAGTTGATGTTACCCTGCGAGTCCTCCTGCCCCTGCAGTAGCTGCTCCACCTGCACACACGTACAATCGCCAAGGTGACTCAGCGTGCCCGGGACACGTGTAATTGCTTTATTTGCTTACTGATATTAGTTCAGCAAATGTATTTTGAGTTCCTAGGTCTTAGGAAGAACTACACGTCTATAGAAAATTGACTCGAAGCAGCAGAGTAAGCCTCCCTCAAAGGTTGAAACCGGTCTGCTATACCCGCGGGCTCGTGCATTACATATTAGTAGACCACTATTGCGTTCGGATTTGGAAGGGCATTACAGAAGAGAAATACTGGGGACTTGTCAACTTATGTGTCAGGGTGACGAGCGCAGCGGCAGTGCCCCACAAACGTCTGCGATTGAAAGCTCCGAGTGGCAACTGCAAGTGCAGGGAAGACGTGACTCGTCCAGTCTTATGGAAATGTGAAGAGCGCACCTCGTCGTCGCTGAGCTTCTCCCCGAGGGTGGAGAGCAGGTGGCGCAGCTCCGCGGAGGAGATGAACCCGTTGCCGTCCTTGTCGAAGTGGCGCAGGCCCTCGATGAAGTCGTTGGCGGTGTCGCCGCTGCGCGCCTTCGAGATCGCCTGCCACACAACGCTCTGATAAAGTCAGTGCGGTCCCTTTTCGAGCCTACGTGTATTACCATGCAAACATTAATTTTAATGTTCAGCTGGTCATCGGTTCCTATCATACAATATTATATTTTTCAAATACATATTCACAAACATCTATCAAAGCAATTAGGTCATCTATTTTTATTATGGTACTGGTGAGTAAATTATTTCAAAGTACTAATAACCTGAAATATGAATAACCAAAGTACTAAAATGACTGTTTTATGAAGGTATTGATCTAAATCGGGTACTCGTAACATGGTCAGCTCCAATTTTTTTTTTTATTTCACCGACTCGGAAAAAATAGGGGGTACTTAAGACGTTAAAATGGGGCCTCGAGACCATTTCGGCTATCATAACTAAAAATTTTGATTTTCCATAAATGAAATAATCCACATTATACACATACTATCTGTATGTCTATACATAATACTGCCTTATATTACTGTTTACATTACAAAATACGTTAGTCTTTAAGGTATACATTTTAAGGGTCATTGTTGATCGAATTAAACCTATGAAGTAAACATTTCACAATAAACAAGACATTCAGTTAGATAAATGTATAAAAGTTAACATTTGTTTTTTTTATTAAGTTTCACACAATCAAGACAAAGTGTGTGGCACTGTGTCAGCTGTGTGAAAAACACAATACAGGTGAATGAATTTGTACAAAATCATATTAGATGGGGATCTATGCTAAACAGAAAAAACTTAGTACACGGTTGACAGGACAAAAAGTTTGGGAACTTCTGCTTTAAATGGATGTCTTGTTTCAATGATGCAAAGCTCTGTATTGAACAAAGGTCAGTTTAATTGTGTTGCCAAATTTGAACAGTTTACCTTTTAAAACATTTTGTTATTTATAAGACTACTGTTGTATTTATACTACTCCTATATAAATACTTTATAGATATAAGTATCAATTATTGGTCTACAATACACTATAATTAGATTATAATTTTTTCACTAGAATATGGAGACACCACTAACAATGGCCCTGATTGTAGATAGGCTATATTATGGACTGAAAATGAAATGACAAATTATTCAATTATGAAAGAATAGGGAATGTATTTCATGTTTTCAAACATGCTGTGTCACACCTGATAAATGGGCAAGAAAACCTCAAAGGAGATGCGCTCATCTGGTTTGAGATGCAGTGTGCACTTTTTCACATCTGACTCTGTGGGGTTTTGGCCAAGCGCACGCAACGCATCACCGATCTGCGCCACGTGGATTTTACCATCACCACGCGAATCAAACAGCTGGAATGCCTCCTGGAACTCTGCAACATCGAACAACATAACCTCCGTTAATTCATACATTCCCGGCATTTGCTCGCTCTACAGTTGGTGCCCTCATGTGGGTATACACCATTTGATTTGTACAGCACTTAGTACAAATAGTGGATGCGTAAATGAGAGCACCTACCCACAACCATACCTACCAAACATAATCACCTAAATGATTTGAGTGAAAAAGGTTTTAATGAATTTGTCCAAGTGTAAAAGTGATACATGTCATATTGTATTATATTATATGTCAAATCATATAATGTGTGTGTACTGTGCCATAAAATAATAATGGAATAAACAATTTTCTTTCTTTATTACAAGAAAATTGCTTCTTGTTCAGTTGTACAGTTACAACGGAGTGACCAGGTGTTTGCTTTGGCCCGACTAGTGGCTCCTTCACCACAAAACTTATGTAAATACAATTGTTTAGAAATGAAATACTATTGACTAGCCTGTCACAAAATACAGTTGGACTTTAGAATAGCTTTAAAATACCCTCCAGCAATAAGTACTAAGAATTAAGAAGGTACCTTCGAGGGTGGTGAGGCGCAGCTTAGCGGGAGGCTCGTACGCGAACATGGTGGCGACGGTGCGTGCCGAGTGCGCGACATCTGCCGAGGCAACCGCCGCCCCGCACTCGGCGCCACCACACTCGTTTCAAAACTAGCACCTTATAAGGTAAGTAGGGCACTTGCAGCGACCACCACCGCTTTCGGTAAACACGGTGATTGACGTGAGTCAGAACAGCGAGTGAGCCGAGCGGGCGCGGAGCTGGCGCACTCTCTGCTACAGTGCTGCGTGCGCCACGCTGTACCCGGTAGGCCTGAGCCAGTCATCATCGTTGACAGACAACACCCAAACGATTACTCACCTGCCAACTGATCTTCGGAATATCCGGCCTACAACAAAATCTAAATGTTAGATTGACATGTTTAATTGACAATTTCAAAATTAGGTAATAAACAGTACCATTTCAATATTTGCTGTCTGGAAAATGTATATACCAAACTAGTTCATTCAAACTTTCGATAGGCACAAACTCCAACACCAACAAAGACAAAGACAAAACCCCATAACAGAACAGACAGAATCTTGTGTTGTCATTTGTCAAATATGCCATTGAAAAAAATAAATGACCCGTTGTTGTCTAGAAATTAGAACGATACCATAGCTAAAATTAGTGGTGACTCAAAAAAAAATTAAATTAAGAGGGCAAATGTGTTAATTTCCTTTTTTTCTATCATCATAATAAACTTTTTCACCTCACTAGCTCGGAAAGATTTTCCGTCTCAAAAGAAATGCGCGCAAACATAGTCAATGCGCGCAAAGGCGGTTTTTGCACGCTAGCGTAGAAAAAGTTTTTAAAATTCTAACTTGACAATGGACTGTGGTGTAACGATGTGCGAGTTGAGTTATTTAACTCGGTTGACTCGTTACTTCCACAACGAGTCAACTCGAGTTACTTGTTTATGAACTCGAGCTAACTCGGTTTGGTACCCGCCCCGCCGGCGCCGAGCCGTATACTTCATTCATACAGCGCAATACTCAGCGGCTACTCGTTTGGGGACATCGGAACACGCTCGAGTCACGAGCGATGGGCGAGTCGAGTTATTTTACTCGAGTTACGTCCACAACGAGTCAACTCGAGCTGCTTTGTGTGAACTCGAATTAGATCGGGGCAGTACCCGTCGAGTCGAATACTTTATTCATACTCATACAGTGCGTCGGCTATTCGTTCTCAATCGGTCGGTTCGGCGACTTTCGGAGCACGCACGAGTCGCGGTCGGCCGGCCGATCGTGCCCAACTCGGTGAATCGTCGGTTCGTGTTCTACTCGCAACTCGCGGTTGCACAGTCAGACACCGAGTCGAGTTAACTCGAGTTGCAACTTTACTTAGCAGTCACGTCAACTCGAGTTGAAAAACTACAACTGGCCCCATCGCTACTGTGGTGCACATAACTTTTTGTTTAGAAAAAATTGCGGACTTTTTACTTGCGGACTTACCAGTTCAGTTTTTACAAAGATTAATTTTATTTTAAGTATATTATGCACAATATACGAACAAAGAAATAGTGACGAAGAAAATTAGAACTAAATTCCTTATTTTAAACCGAATTACAAAAGAGTTTATTGTGAAAATTCAAATAATTACGAATTCAAAGTTTTTATTGAAAGTGACAATAATAATGTGATAAAGGTGAAAGTTAAAACATAAAAACTATTTAGACAGCCCAAACAAGATAACTAAATTATTTAAGAGAAAGTGAGAACATAATGTTGTAGAACTACAATGGAAAATATTTATAATAATGAGGATCCCGATAATTAATCGAAGACATGGCTCAAAGGACTTGTATCCAAGCCAAAATTCTTAATAAAAAAACTTTTTCTTTCGTTAAAAAAAGCATGGACGTACCAAACAATTTATTCTTATTATTGTTGATATTAACTTAACGATGATAACTAATTGAGTTTTATTAAATGATTTCACTTCGTCGAAGAACTAAAATAATTTCAATAATCACTAATCACACAAAATAAAAGTATGTCCTTGCTGTACTTAAACAAGCAAGAACAAAAATTGATGAGGTGTAATAATATAATAATAATAATAATAATATTTATTGTTACAAAATAGTTACAACACAATGGTGAAGTCCCTGACACCTGAGCTAGGTATAACCTGTGTTACAGGAGTCAGTGTCCTCTCTCAAACATTTGACCTTACATTACCTATTTCTTAACAATTTTAATAGGTACATTATTAAATAAATTACATATTATATAGGAAATGAAACTATTTTTCCGGATTTAAATCGCGTATATTTGTTTTTTCAAACAAACCGACGTTTCGGGCCCTTTACAGGTACCATGGTCACGGTTGACTGTCAGTCAATCCGGAAAAATAGTTTCATTTCCAATGTGTAACAATCGCGAAAACCTAAGAACCCGATATACATATTATATGTTTTACTGAGTGTGTGTGTGTGTGTGTGAGTGTGTGTGAACGTGCATGTGCGCGGGTATAGGTGTGTGTGTGTCTGCGTTTGTGTGTGACAATATACATTCGCGCGTTAGTAGTATAGAGTCTATTACATTGTTATTACCTGCAAATACTTTATTTTTTCTCAGTTGTTACAATAAGGCTTCAGTTTTATGGTAATCTAAGGTTAATAGTTTTAAGTTTAGCTTCACGAGCAGCTAACGGATATATGTTTAAAGTTTTATTAATTTTATTATACAGATACGGAGCCATAAATAGTAAGTGACGTCTTGCCCAAGCTGTGCGACATTTAATGGAAAAACACACATTAGTGCGGGTGCGCTTTTTGATGTAATTGTCTTTGCAGTATGGAGTGTTTCTGTGCTGCTTGATTACTAGTTGCAAAACGTACAACTGTTTTATACTCAGTACTTGGCATTTGTCATACAACGATGTAGTAGGAAATCTGTACGGACTAAAAGTCATAACTTTAAGTATGGATCTTTGTGCTCTTTCTAAAGTCAATAAGTGAGCCTTACAGGCACCACCCCAGACTCCAACACAGTAACTCATCACCGACTGCGCAAGGGCGTAGTATATTGTGCGCAGTAGCTCAAGATTAGCCACATATCTCAGTTTTTTGAAATCGTATATTAGTTTTCTACAGCGTGACGTCGCCGCGTCGTGAGGTCTATGTGTGCATGCCAACTGAGTCTGTCGTCAAGCATCACTCCTAAATATTTTACATTGGTAGATTTGGCAACAGTAAGACAGGAACAGTCAGAATTGCGAGGAGAATAGCATGAGTGGAGTTTGATTTGAACATTTTCCTGTTTATTGTTCGGCAGGGTAAATTGGACAAGAGTAGATTTAGATAGATTTAAAGTCAGTAGGTTTTCTCGCAGCCAGCAGCTTACTTTATGTAAACCGCGTTCAGCAGTATCGCAAACCTCTTCCCAGGTTGCTCCAGTGAAAACCAAGGCTGTGTCATCGGCATAAGTAAATATTTTGCCATTTTGTAACGATATTTGACACAAGTCATTTATATATATTAAGAAGAGACTTGGTCCGAGGATGCTTCCTTGCGGAACTCTATATAGGACCGGACATTCTGCACTTACTATCTCTCCAATTTTAACTTGTTGAGTACGATGGCATAGGAAGTCCTCCATTATTTTGAGGGCATTACCTCGGACACCGGCACGATTTAGCTTATTCACAAGTACGGGAATCGAGACAGTATCGAAAGCTTTTGCTAGGTCGAGAAAAATTCCTATGCATTTCTGTTTGGCGTCACTTTCTGAGGTTACATAATCTACTAGTTGGCTAACCGCATCTTCGGCGCTTATATTAGTCCTAAATCCATATTGCTATTTTCATAGTATCTTATTATGTTCCAAAAAGTTCATAAGGCGGTTGTTAAGTGCCTTTTCAAGCACCTTAGAAAGTGAGCTGAGTATCGATATCGGCCTATAATTGGAGATACTGTCTCGAGGCCCACACTTGTGGATTGGGGTGATGAGCGACTTCTTAAAAGCCTGTGGGAAAACTCCCTGGGATAGGCAAAGTTCAATAATTTTGGTAAGGGGGAACTATTATATTTTTTGAAATTTTTAAAAATTTAACGGGTATGGAGTCCCACCCAACGGCACAATTATTTTTAAGGTTCATTATCATTGATTCAATCTCGGCTTCGTCTGGTGGTAGTAGCACAATAGAATTTACTACTGTAGGTATATCTAAACTGTATTCACTTTTGTTATTACAATTTGAAGAAATTATCATATCAGCTAGCTCCTTACCTATATTAGAAAAATATCTATTAAAATGTCCTGAATATTTTTACCATTATCTGAACGTAATAAATCATTTGCAGAGGTTTTCGATTTCGAAATATAAAAGGAGTAAATTCAAAACATATCCGAGGTTAAACTTTTTCGTTTATTTATAAAAACCTTAAAGGTCGGAAACAAATAAAATTGATATTTCAATTTCAATTTTCTTTTGTCTATCATGGTAGATGAAAGAAAAACAGTAAACAAGGGGAAAGGCGTTACACTTCTATCACAGTGACAAATCACCGTGATTTTGTCAAGCCTGTTACTACATCACGATACACGGTTTTGGCAAGCGGCTACTTTCTAATAGCCATTAATATTACTCGCTTTGAAGTAACGTTTAATTTCATTTGAAAACTTGATCCGCAATAACCTTCACGGTGTGTTCATTATTTTGGATCAATTTTGTACAATAATCTTACTTGCATTTACGATATTTCCACTTTTGGTTCATAATTAGAATTTAAAAATAAAAGTGAACTACACATTAGTAGCGCTGTCGCCAGTCTCTATAGAACTCAGATCGCGCATGATTTTATACAATACGTCGTATTTCGTGACATGAGTGACGGTGACAGTTAGTGGAACGGAGAACAACCTATGTGATTTTGGAACGTCGTTCCTTCGTAAAAAGTCATCGTGATACTACATAGAGCACAGTCTATGTTTCCGGAAGTGGCCACTTACTTAAACAATATTTAAAAAGTAATTGCAACATTTGAAAATGGAACTCTTTGGCTGCAGAATACAGTTTGTTTCATCTGACTGTCACTTGTTTTTAAATTGTGGCGTCATTTTAGAAATTGGTTGTCTACATCGCCATAGATTTAACTCGTGAAAATTTTCGTAGTATGGTTTTCTACAACTTTAAGTGTAATGTAACAGATCAGCGGAGCTTCGCTCGGCTTCAAACTGCTTTTGCCGATGAAGCACCATGCAAGACAACTATTTATAGCTTGTTTGCAGAATTTAAACGCGGTCGTGTGAATCTCAGTGACGCATTTGGAGATGGTCGCCCGTCCACTGCTGTTAACAACAAAAACATTGATACTATGCACCGTATGATCAAAACAGACAGGCATGTGACATACTATGAGATTCGGAAATCTTTAGGCATAGGCATGAGTCAAATACAATCAATACTACACAAACATTTGAGTGTGAAAAAGCTGTGCTCTCGGTGGATCACACACAATTTGACTGAGGCTCAAAAAACTTGTTGTAATGATGGCATTACCAGATTCAACTAAGGGGCGTCAAATTTGGTGTGAGACATAGTAACAGGTGACGAAACATGGATTTATAGCTACGATCCCAAAACAAAGCAGCAATCGAGCATATAGTCTTTCGAGATGAACCGAAACCAACCAAAGTAGCGCGCGTGCAAAGTGCCTCTAAGCGGATGATTGCTTCTTTTTTTAATTAAACTGGACACGTGGCTAATGTTGCTTTGGAGAATCGTTGTACCGTGAATAGTAATTGGTACAGAACCTTTTTTTTTGCCGGAAGTTATTGACAAATTTCGTAAAAATAGCCGTAGACGATTTATCATTTTTGCACCACGATAATGCCAGTTCTTACACGGCCAGACAGACAAATGAATTATTGAAGGTGAATAACGTTGACCTTATGAGCCATCCCGCGTACAGTCCCGACCTGCCACCTTATGACCGTTATTTATTTCCAAAAATTAAGTACCAGTTACGCTGTCAACGATTTTGATCATCTGAAGAGGCTGTCGAAGAGTATGAAAAATATGTTTCAGACATTGTCACGGAGGAGTGGCATAAATGTTTTCAAAATTGGTTCATTTTTATGAAAAAGAGCATTAACGCTAGCGGAGAATATTTTGAAAAACAATAAATTTATTTCTGACCATTTATAGTATTTTTTTTTATTCATTCCGGAAACTTATAGTGCGCCCCACGAGTTTCACGGCTAATCACTGTGATTTTTTCATCGTGACTTTATTTATCACCCACCTCTATTACCATTTTCCTCGCTATAGTGAGGTGGGAAGTTAAGCGTTTCGTTCGGCAGCAAAGTTGTTTTACGTCTCGTGCCTTGAAACCCTTGCTACGCTCAGAAATCTATTTATGAACCAATCGCTTCGATCGTGGTTCAATCTTACCATGCTTCGTTTGCTCAGGTTTCAATACAAGCCCTCGCGTCAAACAACAACTTTGCAGCCTTGCATAACTATTTTCCACCATATCGGTCGCAGCTTGTAGCTTTCCTATGTGAAAAATTGTTTTTTTTTTTCTTTTTGTGTTTTAAGTATCACAATATATCATTTTCACTACATATTATTGACTCAGCATACCTACAAGATAAGTATTCATTCTGTAATAGCAGTCGAATGCGAAAGTATTTATATTATATTATTATTTTATAATGTGAAAGAAAAATATTTATTAATGTTTACGAAAAATGGCTCCCCAAAAATGTCGTGCTACGTCGTCTTTCACTTTAAAAATGTATTTTACTATTAGCTGTATGATTTGCAACTTTGCTTTTACAAGGAAATCTGATTTTCTGTGTAAGGGTTGTTGTAAAACAAATGTTTGAAAAGGTATAACAACAATATTATATATTATAGTTATAATATATAAAGATTTATGTAATAATTACAAGTAATACAATAAAGAAAAAAGAAACGTGTTATTAATTTCCATCCTATTATCAAAAGCTATATTAAGCAAAGAAAATAAAATGTCAAGTCATAAAACCTGACATACACTTTCCATCCTATAAGCATCTTAGAGGATGCTAAGATATGCATGCATACACACATACTACCGATTGGCTAAAATACTGATTTGATTTTTATACCCACAAAGTCGAACGAGTTATCGTTTTTGGCAACACATCCGTCATCTCGGTCAGGAGTGGGGCTGCTCTCTTCTCGCATTAGCGTAGCGATTGGTGAACGATCTGTGACGAGGAGAAAAATATCAAAATGGTGTATTCTGTGAGAAGGTTAGTATATTAATTTGTTTTATTTGTTTGAACTTCAAGAAAATTGCATTTTTCTTCGCTTCATGTAAGCGATAGTCACAATTTCGGCTGAGACAAGTATCGTTGTCGGATGACAGAAGGTGGAATGGTTGCAATCGACGGGTGCTTTGTTCGCCGATCTCCACGTGCCTGCCGCCATTTAATTTTATTTCAAGTATTGCTCGATTTATACCGATCGTGTAAGTTTCCGTTAAGGAAAGCTACAGTCGAAAGAGGAAATGACTTAATCGTGCGTATTTTGGGTTAGATGGAGCCCAACAGATGCGAGATAAGAGGCTTGGAAAAAGTGGTGCGGCGTGGTAAAGCTGTGCGCTGACGCTAGTGTCTGTTGCAGGTGACGGCGGATGGCGGCCGGTGAGTTCGTGGACGGATGGCTCGTGGCGCAAGTGTTGGGCGAAGGCTCCTATGGCGAGTGAGTATCTTAACTCTTTGAGGATGCAAGGGCACTTATTAGGACTGACCGCACCTACCAAAATGCACTAGTAAATAAAAAAGCTATCTTGTAACAAAGTGTACATGTCAAATGGTAAACACTGTGTCTAGTGTTGTGCCACAGCCTTTAATAGAGAAATCTGTCATCCCATATACGTACTGACCCTTATTTGGATATAGCTGTAAATCCAAACTAATATTATGAATGCGAAAGTAACTCTTTTCTGTTACATTTTTCATGCCTGAACGGCTGAAACAATTTTCATGAATTTTTATATAGATATAGACAGGGTCCTAGGAGAAGGACATAGGCTGCTTTTTGTCACATAATTTATTATATATTAATAATTTACAGGGGATTAAAGTTTATATGGAGAATCAATAAAACTATGAAAATTATTATAGTACAGTAGGCCACTCAAAGTATTTATTATACGCAGACGAAGTTGCGGGCACCAGCCAGTAGTATACAGAATTAAGTTAATACAGTTTGTTGATTTGCATTCTCACCATATTTTATAAATTAATAATAGAAATAATGCTAAATCTTCTAAAAATATTACTGGCTAATTGTATCTAATGAAGTTTTGTTAAATTGTCCCCAAGTTTATTCACCGCGGAGAACAGACCCTGCCACTCACTTCACTGAGCAATACATAATCTTTCTCATTCGCTTATTTATCTATTTTTAAATTATGTTATGAGTTACCAGAGTTGATTATTGATGATTTTTTGTAACTTAGACATGGTACTTACCAACTTTAGGTTACATGAAAGTATTGCTAGAAGTACCTAGCTCCACAGCTGGTGGCAGATATGCAAACTCTGCGTTTCAACTTAGCAAATTCTTCACAACAGAAAAAGCAGAAAGAAACCAGAGATGATTTTTGCGCGCAATTCTTCGACTCTCGTAATCTGTGTAAACTAAACATTTCACATCATGCCATAAGAACGCACTTGATGGTAATGCAGGGTTTGGTGAATCTAGTAGCGGTTTTATTTGCACTAACTCTTATTATCTATATCAAATCACGTGACATTTCGTGAGAAACAAGAACGTGTGCGCCATGTCAGCGGAACGTGGACGCAACACGCAAGGTCGACTGATCTACCAATCACGCGCTCGATACGATACTCCCCCCGTCCCTACCCTTACCCTACCACCACATAGATCTAAAATGCATATTTTCTGCACAAAGGTCATTGTTCAATTGGTTGCCGGTACCTATGGCACGTGTAGTGCAAGTGACAAGTGAAGTGACCTTTGGTTACCGCAATGAAGAGGGAGCAGAGGAAAAATTCCTAATCTTCGATTTGATTTTAGAGGGGTATATCCACTTTAAAGTTAAAAATAATATTGTATGAGTAACTACACCATATATTCAAGCATAGACATTAATCAGAAACATAAAACAATAAAGTTTCCTCGATGGATATAAATCACAAAATGACCTCTAATTTTCACTTTTTTCGATTCATCCTCGAAATGCTACAGGTTATTAGGACAAAAATTAGATAATTAATTATATTTAGGCATGATCGACAACCGTCGCTACGGATTTTTTTATCCCTTTAGTTTTAGAGCTATTCCGCTAAAACGAATTTGGTACTTTTAATGCGCAAAATTCAACATCTCCTGTCGCATGTCACGCGAACTTCAGGCATATATTTGTTTCACAAATTTGGGCGAAGCCAACGTCAAACTTTTTTGGCATCTTAAATAAAGAGAGCTCTTAAATAAAAAATAAGAATTTAGGAAATTTTTATTTGATTTATTTTTTTTAGTGATTTGGGTTCAGTTACATGGAATAACCTCTGTAAATATGGCAAGAATGCAAATCAACACATTGTATAGTAATGTTTTTGAATATCAGCGACAACTTGGTCACTAAAAAACACAGATTAAGCTACTAGCAAAGTGAGCAACCGCTTCATTATCTTTTGAACATGTCTGAAAAATAAAACTGAACAAACTGAAAAAACATTGTTATTTATTAACCTTCTTTACCTTTTACCATGCTCATTTCTTGAAGTCAAAGTTTACTATTATAAAGTTCTTCGACAAGAATTTTTATAACAAAACCCGTGTCATCTTTAGGCAAGACTAGGTTCTGTTCAGAGTGGTCCACCTCCGTACCCACAGACATACATTTATTTAGATAGCCGCCGTAAGTACAGCAATTTGTATGAAAACTAAGCATGCCACAATTTTTGTACCCAATATGATGTCACAAGAACTATTTAGTGATGGAAACCTCCTTCTGCTGCTTAAATCTTTCTATTGATTGAACAGAATATGTATTCCATTCAATTAATCGATTCTAAATAAAATAATTTTTGTTGAAGTATTTGTTGGTTACAAGTAGTCGTAATATTAATATAGTAGAAAAATACTAGAATAAAATAGTTAAGTATTACACCTGTTTTAAAAAAAATTTATTACTTAAAAAAATTAATGCTTTAATTTTTAATCGACTTAAATATTAAAATTATTACCCTTCCAATAAAATAAGCTTATTATATAACATCTTTTTGTAATAGAAGATCTTATGGTTAACTTAAATAATGAAAATACATGTCAATGTATGAACTTCCCACTGCCTTTATTAATTTTACTAGATGGTTTTCTGTTGGTAATTGATCAAATTGATGAATGGCAAGACTACTGTTTACAAAATATGCTTAAGTCTTATTAATCAGAAGAGATTTACTTAATGACGTCCTCATGTGAAATTTCGTGATTTGTTTATTATTTCTCGGATTTCTAACTCTGCTACTCTGCATATTTGGATAGCATCTTAGGTAGATTAACTAAACCACCTTCGTCCTCGAAATCAACGAACTCATTTGACCTTATCCAGGTTTTTGTAAAAACAGCGCACTGTTAATTCTTTGCATTATATATTTTTTTGTATTACTCTTACTACATATCTGGCGATGTATGTAATTATTTGCTCATTATAATCGGACATTCGAGGCGACGACGTGCTGCAAAAATTATCGAAATTACAGATACTACTGATAATTGATACTACAAAACTGAAAAAAAAAAACTAAATGTTATAACAAAAGAGTTATAGAATATTTTTATAATATTGCTTATAATAATTTTCGTCCCTTTGTTTTCAAAATCGATCAGAATCGAGAACAGGTTGCCTAACATATACCTACATCACTAAATGTTGTGATGTATATAGTGCCAAAGAAATGTAGGAACTGAATGCATTATACAAAAGTGCGTCCATTCGATATTCATAGCGTATTAACAAGAGATCACAAATCTATCGCACCAAGTAAAAGCTGCAATGTATTACAAATCATATAATCGGTTGCATATTTATTTTCTCGAAATACGTACAAAACTAAAATAATTGTTGGGCCGTTCCAAACGGGTGGGACATTTTGACTCCTTTTTTCTTGAAGTCTATGTAATTTCTCCCTAACCATTAATTAATTAGACTTAAAATGAAAATATCATGAAGCCAGATATGCAATTCAACTGCAACTATTTATTTACATAAATTTATGACATTATTTATACTCAAAACTTTTACTTTTCTAACCTGTTTGAGTTGATGGCTTCATTGCCAAGATCAAGACAAACTATTAATATTTTGTTCCGCAAGTTTTTCATTTGAGATAACTTGAATGTTAAATATCTAATTTATATATACACTTAATTAATAACTTTAATAAATTTTAAGGAAATTAATATGTTAAGTTGTGACAGGTGGGACATGATTTTGTGACGAGTGGGACGAGTTACAATTGAATACACAGAATTAATAAAATTACACTGTTTAATATGAGAGCCATCGTTAGTAAGCAAATATTTTATAATACTTGTTTTATTAAGACATTTTAGCATAAATAAAAACAGAATTAAAGAACTGATAAAGTATTCCTATTATTTTTCTTGAAGCACTATGACAGCAAGAAATCAAAGTCACGCATGTAAAATGCGTTAATAAATTTGAAGAATCCTGCCGCATCCATTTTAGAAATTTTGCTCGAATATATAGTTAAAACTAGTGGAGACAGACTTTTCATGAATTTCCTGATACTAAAAATCATCAGGAAAAATGTCACTTTTTAATTGTCTTTTTTTACGTGTATAACGTCTTAATTATGAGAATTATAAAAAAATTGCTTACAAATGATGGATCTACATATAGTGTATTTTTTAAAATTCTTGTCCCACCTGTCACAAAATGGTGTCCCAACTGTCGCAATTTAACACATCAAACTCCGAAATTAAAGCAACTGTTACATCTAGTAAACATCGTAAAAACTCGAATCCATGAAAATACAAACATTTATTCAAAGTAAAGTTTAGAAGTGTGTCTCACCCATCACTGTGAAGGGTGGGACACACTTTCAAATCTTAATATTGACATTCCTTTTTCTGTGCACAATAACCAACCAAGCCAAAATAATGATCCTTAGCATAATTGTTACTTTTACTAAAGCAAATGCCAATCGATTGCATATTTATTCGTTAAAATAAAAATATATATGTTTCATTGTGATGGGTGGGACTTGAAAATAGTATTTATTGAAACTTTAATAACTCCTCACCATATATACTTCCATGCAATCACTTATCACTTGTTTTAAAATTCTTAAATTGTATTTTCTTCGATAGCAATAACTTTTTTAGAAAGACGCACAAATCACCGCGAAAATAATTGTTTTAACATTACAAGAAAAAATGATTCACTATAGACGACAGCACTACGGCCGCGTGAATGAAGACAAAAAATACAATAATTGTACAATATCCGAAAAATCTCATTTATCTCTAATAATTTAATTTATTGGGCGTATTCTAGTCATACAATTAAAACCAAATTGTGTAATTTATTTCTTTGGACCGCGGTGTCATTTTCGCTGGAATGACCGTTTTTTTAAATAAATTATGCATCTTCTGATTACAAAATGACTTGCATGTGGAATGAAACGTCCCTGTTATGGTGTAACTCACAGTTATGGTGCTTTTGCAGTTTATAATGGCATAATTATGCATTTTTCGCGTTTTCGACTGGTGTTTATCTACGATAACGATCGAGCGCGTTCGGAAGTGTAGCAGCGGCAACTAAGTGAATTTCACTTACTTTGGTCACGCGAAGTATGTATTTTTGCGGCGTCTATCTAGATAAATGTCTGTGTCGGTACCGTAAATCGTGCTTCTCGAACATTGACTTACAAATAAATAGACGACGGATCTAATACAAAAACCACGAAAAAAATGTCCCAAGTCGTTAAATTTAAATTGTAATGTCATCGCAGTACTGTCTAATTTTGCTTGCTTCGCTGTCAATCGAACAAACGAAGACTAAAGCGTGAATGACGCTCTGTATACGATTTTAACGCCCTATAAGTTCGGACACTTTTTAGCGCGGACCCGACATCCATATAATTGTAAGTTGTAAGTAAATTGTAAGAAGAAATTGCCTTTAATAGGCAATTAAATAAGTAACAGAAAGTTTACTCTCCTACCCCGTCCGGCCCATCCGTGCGATACAATTGCTGTCAAATAAGTAGTACTCGACCAAGTTAGAAAACAATGTCAAGTAAGCAGCTTCATGCGCATCATGCGTGTTTTAATTTGGTCGAGTATTGCCTATTTGACAGTAATTGCATTAGCACGGATGTCGGACAGAGAACGAAAGTACGAGTCCAGACACGGAAAAAAAAACAAAATCTTTAAATTTACCTAGTTGGCATATCTATATGACATAATTTTGTTTTTACATTTTAAAGCAACACCTATAAAGAGTGGTGTTGTTACATTATATTTATTCATGCCCAATTTAAGTTTTCAATGGAAGCCAAAACACTTATATGCTAGTTAAAATGTAGTTGAATAAATTGGTACTTTGGATTTTTTTAAATTAATTTAGGAACAAAACGGCGTATTTCGAGAATTCGTTTGAACTGTCATGGTATGTGTTGGCACGTGACTGTTGAGTGAGCAATTGATTGAGCCAAGTAGTAGAACTAACAAAAAAGTAGACCGATCGGGAAAGTAGACCAAATGGGAAAGGGGACCAAATGGGAAAGTAGACCAAACGGGAAAGTAGACTAAACGGGAAAGTAGACTAAACGGGAAAGTAGACTAAACAGGAAAGTAGACGAAATGGGAAAGTAAACCAAAGAGGAAAGTAGACGAAATGAGAAATAGACGAATCGGGAAAAACAAGTTGACCGTTCGGGAAAGTAGATGAATAGTGAAAGTAGACCGATCGGGAAAGTAGCCCAATTGTATCGAAGGGCCATCACTATCAGATGGGACGGTGAGCTAACATCGAGGATGAGCGCGATTATGTCTCCTATGTCGATCATACAACTACGTCTATAAAAGCCGTTCCGCATTTGGAGATTTAAGCGTCTTTCTCCACCCTTCCTCGCTTAGTGTACTTATTACAACGCTTTAATTTTTAGTAACTAATTACAGAAAATATCCACATCCATGAACCTGCTGTTGTATGACTGACGTGATCGCCTAATAATAATATGGCCAACGAGAAAGCGAAAAGTGTATTCCTATGAAAAGATCTTTAAATTTGACGGGATACTCTGAAATCTATAATCTATAACAGTAGAGGTGTCGAATCAAATTTATTATTTACTATTTTATATAAATTGACAGCATCTATGTAATCACGACGACTTTTGAGCAATTCGATTCCATGTCTATCCACAGAAGCTCTAGCAATATAATCATGACCAGTCCTACTGTCAAGAGCCTTAATAAATTTCTTTTGCACTCTTTCAATTTTGTGTATGTGGGTGTTATAGAAGGGATACCAAACTGTACAGGCGAACTCTTATCGACTACAAAGCTATTAAATAAGTTTATATG